TCGGAAGGCTTGTGTACACTGGTAGTTCTGTGGCTGGGCTGCGTGTGATAGTTCTGGACAAAGTGCAGGTGGTGGTCGATTCAAGAGCTTCTTGAAGTGGTCAGCCCATCGTTCCCTTTCTTCCTCTTCTTTGGTAATCAGATTTCCTTCATCATCTTTTATTGGTTTCATCTGTGTTGATCTCTTCTCTACCAGAAAGTAACCTGGTTATTTGATACACTGTTGTCAGGTCTCTGTCTCTCCTACCTGCAGCCTGTTCTGCTTCACTTGCCAGTGTGTCATCGAAGTGTCTTTTGTTTTTCCGTTCACTCTCCTTCACTTCTTTGTCTAGTGTTTTATGCATTGTGCTCAGTTCCTCTTCTCGTTGTGCATCCCTGCATTGTACTGGTTTATCTTCTGCTTCACCATCCTCCTCTTCCTGCTCTATCAGCTTCCATGTGTCCGTCGAGGTCCTTTCCTTATCTTCTTTCTCCTTCCTTCCTAATACGGTTATGCAAGTTTCTTTCCACATAGCTTTCTAAGAGTTCCAGTGTTCATCCACACCGGCTTCTTCGGACATGCTGCTCGATATCTCCCATTTTGTCTTGATGGGTGAAGTGAAAATTTTGTTTATAGTTTCGTCCTTCAGCTTCTGTTCCGAGTGATGAACTTGAACTGTGATCTATCACCATTTTCCTTGAAGGTTTTCAACTTGAGTTGGAAGGTAGGTTCCTTGCACTATATAGTGAGTGGTCTGAGCCTACATCTACTCTATTCCTTGATCTTGTGTGCAGTAGATTGCATCTCCACTTTCTTCACTTTAAGATGAAGTCGATCTGATTTTTAATGTGGTGTGTCCTGGTGTCTGGTGAAATCCATGTCGCTCGCTTTGTGGATATCCTTGTGTTTGTACACACTGCCTTCAATCACCAAATCGTTGAATGCACGGAGTTCTGCAAACAATTCACCATTCTTGTTCATTTCAGTTCAGTTCAGTTCTTCTCGACCCATGCTTAGTTCTCTTCCTGTGTTGTCTGCTCCCAGTTTCGCATTATTGTCGCTCATTAGAATTTTGATATCGCCAACTGGTGTGGGGTCTTTTCGAGTGTTGATTGCAGTTGTTTGTAGAATTCCTCCTTTTTCTCTTGCTCTGCATTATATGTAGGGGCATAGAGTAGCACTGTATGATTGTGACTTTCTTTACTTTTGGGTTGAACCTTGCTGTCATGATCTTGATACTGCAGGAGGAGATTGGTTCCCACTGCATGAGAGGGTGCCTTCGATGCTCTTGGGGACATCATGCAAGCCACTCCCTCCGTTTGCTCATGGTTGTCGTCTGGGTGACAATTTCGGTGTAGATTATTGACTGTCAAGTTGACAGTTTAGAGAGTCCATTTCCATTCCATCTGCAGATTCCTCCCAGATTCCTAGCACTTCAGTGTGATACCTTTTCATCTCCTGTGCAATCTGGGCAGCCTTGCAAGGTTCAAACATGGTATGAACATTCCATATCTCCACATTTACTTTCGACTTCATCTAGAGAAGACAAATGGCGTATTGGCTTCTGGAAGGCATTCACTAATAGGCGTCATTTCGTCTCCCCGATTCCATTGAGGAATAAGTTTTTTTTTCATATTTTCTCTGTGCTTTGAAGTTTCTTTATCGGTTGGATTTGTTTTCCGGGGAATGGTTGCTAGCTTTATGTCCAACTTTCCCTCTCTATCCAGGCTTAGGACCGGCTAGTAACTAGTGGACTAGTTAACCAGGCGAGGTTATCTGTCTATCACAATATATTATTTTCATCTTCCAGTTCATAGTACTATACGTTTTGTAAATGTCTGAAGTAATCATTGACTCTTGTTGGTATTACGCATGATACATATTTCAACTGTCGCACAACTGCACAGTTGTGATGCCAAGTTACGATATCGATATCTTTTCATCTAAATCACATGGGTTTCTTTTTCATTCTCTCATTTTAATAGCAGATGAATTATCCAAACATCTGTAATGTGTTATGAGTTATTCCTATTGGATGTGTTCAGTTATCAATCTCTCCATCTTTTTGGTGATATTGGGTTTTAGAAAACGCATCTCTTCTGACCTAGAGTGTGATTATAACTGAGCACATACCTAGTGGTTTAGTGGCAAGAGTATACGTTTAGCCCTCACATGAAATTCCAATATTGATCAACTCACTACGAATTAGCAAAGGTAATACGATGAAAGAACCTACACTGAAAAATGTTTTCTGAAATGATTCCAACACAGTTTATCTTCATACAGTTCACTAATGGAAGCAAAATGTAAACCTGGGTATTTATTTTACCTGGATCAACAAACTCTAAGCATTATTCTTAGTATGAGTCACCATTTATCTTCACAGAAAGAAGCATCAACCTATCGGTTTGTCTGTTTTGTTAAAAATCTGTTGTTATCTGAAATAAGCATTTATAGATATATATTCGTTGAAGTATTTGGAAACTATTTGAAGAGTATAAATAGAATTTCCATCACAAAGAAAAAACCTAATCGGTCGTCTGCTTTAACGCCTAGCTTGTAGTAAGAAACTATGTGGTGACTTACTAATGAAGAAGGTGAAATTAAACCACATCGATTTCATGTTACATGTACATCCTACAGGGATGTACTAACCGTCTCATCAGCTTTCTTCTGTAAACAACACGTTAACTTACATTCTCTCAAATTTTCATTCTTGAGGCTTGAAATGAATTTTTAGATACAGTACTATTCATTGGTTAATATATCAGCATGAAATCAAACTTTTATGAAATGTATTATGCTACATGATTTGGAGTGAGATGACTACAGTCAGAATTGTGTGAGAGTTGTAGACTACAAGTGTATACCTCGATATTTCCTAGAAACCAGCTATGATAAGGTAGAGATAATTTCAAAGAGGGTAAACGTATTTGTAATTCCATAAATTATCAAAAACTTATCAAGAATGTAGAATTTTAAGAGTCAATGATTCTAAAATACTGGCGTTTGAACTCTAACGGAATCTTAGGTTTTCTCAGAATTCAGTAGAAGTTGATGTGATCGGATTATAAAAGGATTATAAGATTTTTCATCAATGATGGGTTACAAAATAGGCATTGTAATAATACACATACAATAGTTCATCACATAAAAGTGGAAAATGATTGCCGGAATGGTGTCCCAACACTCATAGAAAGGCACGGAAAACGGGACTGGGAAGGTAAGCTTTATTGCTCCAGGAAAAGAGGAAGATAATCAGTTAACGCCAAGTTTAATATTGAAAAACTACCTTCTCACATACTGCTTTATAACCCAACTTTTTGAACAGCAGTAGTAATCAACCAGGCAAATGCAAATGACGCTGCCTTTGATCAAGGTTGAGAACGAATACTCAGTCCATATTTTGCTTGGAAACACTGAGAACAGACAGTTGTCTTTCTTTTCATTCCAACAGAGACGATCTTAGCCTTGTTAAAAATAAGCAACACCGTTCAATGTGTGTTATTCGGTAGCTCTCCACACTTGTTTGTTTCCTGAGTACAGGAGACAATTATGTTCACCATCACTCCAGCTGTGCACGCTGGCATAAAAGTTTAAGGATCATTGTTCCAAGGGAGATGTCTTCATCTTTTAGTGCATCGGAAAGAACCTGTAAGCATGACGACAGCCAAGCCTAAGGCCCCTAATATAAGACTTCACTACGAAGTCATAATAAATGTTTGCAGACATACTTCAGTGAGGCTTCATTTCTAATCTGGAAATAATGTAGTTGAATAAACAACAAGGTTGTTCTGGTGAGGTGAGTTGTGCAAAACGCTTCAACGTATGTGGATAAGAGCTACCACATATTCAACTATACAGCGTCATATAAGAGTCACCCTCTGAATCTTCCTCATAATTAAATGAGTTTATTATTCATTGTCTTGATTGCAAGATCAAACTTACCCGTTAGAGAAGTCAAATAAATTGAATTTAAGTAGTATTTGAATTCATTACCGATGACTATGTTAGATGTTCATCCTTGGAAACCTATTCAGGATATGATTATATACATACCATACGATTTAAATATTAAATATCCACATCATAGACGGTAGTTTAATATTCATTTCATGGTTTCGAAATATCAAGATATCATTCATGAGGACAAGGGAACAGTCGGAGCATTACTACTCTCAAAAACTGAAACACTTACCATTGAGTTACTTTAAAGAGTATGCATTGTTAAACATTAACTTTTACAGGAGATATCTATGTAAAGTTGAAATAATAAAAACGTAGTACATTAAGATTATTGAACTCACTAGCTCGAATTACCGAAATGTTGTTGGCTATATTTCTCATTTAGTTTCAAATTTTGAAATGAGAGTGATTCTCCTTGATTTTAGGTGAATAAACAGTAAGGAAAAATAAATTCAATTTGACGTTCAGCGTGGTATTTATCAAGGACTGATGTCACTTGAAGAAACATTGAAAAATGTGTGAAATTGGTTCACTGTTTCGTCCAAGCACGAGATTCCTCAGAAGAACGAATCAACCACGCTGACCATAACCTTGATGTCTAGCAGCGAGCAAGTTACCCAGTCAATCACTGGATCACCGATCATTGGCTCACATAGTTCTACTTTTGTCATATGGCGATGAAGTGTTAGTATTTTTCAAAGATCTTGGTTAACATCTACTTTATTTTCTAACGCTTAGCTTCTCATACGACGATTTCTCATTTTAAATTTGTGATATCTATATAGAAGCATGGTAGTAATAAGCACTACACAGTAATTTAATTTGAGTTTCAAGAGAAATTTATTTGTGGTTCAATGAATGTTGAACACGAAGGCGGAATCGTAGGTGCATTATGTTGAGAATCGCCATAGTTGGACGAAACAACTATTCAGTGTTTCCATATTTGAATCGGTTGATGAACAGATATTGTTGTAACTGCTATTTATTGAATTATGACATGCTGTGATGATGTGAAACTTATTTCGAAAAATTTGAGGTCTATTAGTCTCTACAGCCTTGACAGGTATTTAATTAAAACGCACAAATTGATGTTTCCATAGATATGCATAAAATGAAGAAAACCACCTGATGTGAGTAGGCAAATTCATCACGTGTGTCTACTTATCTACACTTCATTTGAAGATTTCATTATTTTAAAGTTATACTGGAATTATGATCAGCCTGTTGATATTCGCTGTTCTCGTCTTAAATACAAATATAGCTGAAGAGACGGAAGGTAGAGATTGTTGCTCTATATCATCATACATTGTGGAAACTATTTCGTCGTTTCAATGATTTTTCATGTTAAGAAGTAAAACAACTCTATACTTTGAAATATTTAACCAGTTTATTCTCCGTCCAGTTTCAGCAGAAAGTAACACATCACAAACCAAAAACGAGACTTAGTGAGTGAAAATTCAGTAAACTGATTACTTTGATTATTCATGTTATTATATTATTATTATTAGTCCCTTGGGTTCCTAATGGAACATAGGGCTTCACTTGCACGTCTCCAGTGAACTCTGTTCTCTGAAATCTTTTGAACCTGGCTCCATGACAGCCCACAACCTCTCATTTCCTCCTCGCACCATCTCCTCCATGTCACCCTCAACACAGATGTCCAAATCGTTGCTTCCCATCTGAGTTGCACTCGAGTACCTGGCCTGACGCTTGATGTCCCCAGTCGAGCTTCTCAGTGTATACACAATCCATCAACACTTCATTCTGTATATTTGTTGGGCGATAGGTTCTTGGTTGGTTCGTTGCCCAGCCAGAGTTCCCTGTTGCTTATTCTTATTATCCTGGCCATCTGATCTTCAGCATCGAGCCAGAGTAGGCAGTTATTGATGAATGTCTGTAGTTTATTGGAAATCCAAGCCAAGTCTCTGAGCCATACAGAAGCACTGACTTGATGTTGGTGTTGTAAATCCAGATCTTGTTCCACATGATGAGTTCAGAAGATCTCCACACTAGTTTTAGGGTAATGAAAGCCTGTTTCACTTTTCCAATGCTGGCTTTAACGTCCTCGTTTGTGCCTGTGTCACCTGTAGTTGAAACAGTGCTACCTAGATAGGTGAAGGAGGTTACTTGCTTTAAGTTTCTCCCGTTGATGGTGACTGGAGCTTGTTGTTGTTGATGATTGGTATCTTCACCACCTCTATCTTCTCAAAGTTAACTTCAAGTCCCGTCTTCTCTGACTCGCCTCTTCTGCCAACTTGTTAGTTTTCGCCTGTATATCTTCAAGTTTGTGTGACATTAGAAACAAGTCATCGGTGAAATCCAAATCTTTGAGAATCTTTTCTCCAGTCCAGCCAGTATATTCCTGTCTTCTCCCTCCTCACTGTTTGTTGCATGATCCAGTCCACTACAATCAGGAATATCATCAGTGATAGTAGACAGCCTTGTCTCACTCCTGTCTTCACTTCAAAGGCATCAGTGAGCTTCCCATTGTGAATTACTTGGTATGTGTCATCTTCATATAGTTGTTGAATGAGATTGATGAAGGTTTGTGGTATTCCGTAGTGTTGAATCAGTTTCCAAATTACCTCTCAGTCGACGCTGTCAAAGGCCTGCTCAAAGTCGATGAAGTTGAGGTAGAGTTGAGTTGACTGCCATTCTATATTTTGTTCAGTGATGATGCGAAGCGTCGCGATTTGGTCTGCACATGATTTTTACTTCCTGAAGCCAGCCTGTTCCGGTCGTAGTTTTGAATCTAGCGCATCCGGCCTAGTATTTTGCTTGGGGTGGACAGTGGCGTGATTCGGCGCCAGTTCTTGCAAACACTGAGGTCTCCCTTTTTCAGGAGTTTGACAAGGTAACCCTTCTTCCAGTCGCCAGGTACCTTTCCTTCCTTCCACACCTTCTGTAACAGTGGTGTGAGCATGTCCACTGGTGTTGTCTCTGCATCTGTTCTGAGTGCTTCTGGCGGGATCCCGTCTGAGATTATTCATGTTGTGCTACCAAAATTAATTTTGATAAAATTAATAGCCAGATTGCAGTCAAATAGAAAACCATATCGTCATTGTAGAAAACAAGTTATAAAAAAGGAGATTTATAGTAGAGGACGTTCATTCTCCTAAGTGATTGAATGCCTGAACTTTTTATGTTTCCTATGAAAAAGGCTTTCTATGTCTACAAGAAACAATTTTCTGAACAAATACATGCATATCTACACTTTGGACAGCGATTCAAAATACTTGTAATAATAAGCTTGATTTGAATATTCCTGTTCAGTTATACAGTCCCTCAGCCTTGGTCGTGAGTTATACTTTTCACAATAATACTTAAATTAACAACACGTTAACCATTACTTTTTCACCAATATATTCTGTTACATTTTCATTGTCATTATTTTATCCCAAAGTTATCTAAGTGATTGACACACTCTCTCACAATGTTAATTGCTTGTTATATTGTTTCTATTCAGCGAATGGTTAAGTGGAATTTTGTAAGTTGCAGATGATATTCTTTTCATCACTTTTGTTAACCCCTGTCATTAGATTTAATGGAGTAGGTAACAGAAATACAGATTAACTCTCCCTCAAATAAATAAATCAATCAATAAATGTACTCTATGAGATGCATATCAAAACACTGAGCATTCTTCGAAATGAATCGCTGAACGATATGTGATAATTTTCAATGAAATAGGAAAAGTCGAAGTGATTTTAGTAAGCTGTATCATAATGAAATGTAAAACACCTTGTTGAATTAACCAACTGAGTAGTACAATCACACTTTTGATCAGAAGAATGCATATAATACACAGACTATTCATCTCTACATTCACTGACTTCAGAACATCTCAAAATGTCATTCACCTCTGAGTAATTCTTCTTTCCATGTTTCGAAACCACTTTTGAAAAGGCAGTCACAATTAAACAAGACAACACACTGATCTGAAATAGGCTATCATTATTGACTTTCACGGTTGAGGCATAAATTATTCTGGAAATGTCATAATTACAGGACTAAATTACAATTCGGTTTCAGTGATTTGAGTGTTCGTCAAGTAATCTACTTGCTAAAATCATATAAGTCATGTTAGATACAGCGCAATTTTTCAGTTGACATGTAAATGACTAGTTTCGCCTTTCATAGGAAAGCTCTAAATCTCGCATGGTGAGTTGTCTTATGAATTTGTGGGTTTATTTCTTTCTTCTAAATTTATTTGAGGCATGCATACGTAAATTATGTGTGGTAACCAGTTGATACAATTTCGAAACCAAATTCAAAATAGGTCTGCATTTAGTTTCGTCACTGACTGTTAATTGAAAGCTGCCTGATTTCATGCTGTCTGTTCCTAAACGCTGATCAATCAGTGGTCAGAAGCTGTAAGTGGTAGCATTCATGCCAAGAGATCTGATGAAATCTAATTGTAATTCTTGATTGGACATAAGGCCACTTACTTCGGTCTATTTCCCACTGTTGATTATCATCAACTACATCAGCCGCATACTTCATTTTTCTTGAATGAAGCGTACCAAGCCATAACTCAACGAAGAAGCATCATCAGATAGCCTTGAATCATACATAAGTTAGCTGTTTGCTGATATTATTTGACAGTGTTCAGACAATCAAAATACGCATTCCGTCAACCAGTAGAGGTTAGTTATTTCAAGACATGATCATCACTTTCAAAAATGCGACATATCGGATCGTTGCTAACTGTGAGCTTACTAATAGTCTGTAGACAGTGAATCATTATCGATAAACTTCTCTTAGTATTTCTCTCGTAAGTTCACTGAAAATTTTGAAAAACTAACAGATTGATACAATTAATGGTGACTTTAATTTCAGTGCTCTCAGAACTCTTTGGTAAGAATTGTAGTTTATTTCCTTCGACCATAATAAATGTTCGATTATTTTATTGTTTCCGTCTGACCTAATATGCTGAGGTTAGTCGAGATGTCGATAACTGAAATATACTCAACTATTCAAGCTATATGAATTCGTAATCTTCTTCATAGATTGTTATCACTCTGAATATACTATGTTGGTCATTAAAAATGAAACTATTTCGAAATATAACTGACATGGCGGGCAAGTATGAAAAGATGCCAGTCGATTTCATTTCACATTACTAATGAAGTTAGTCTGTAATTTGACTAACTGTGGGATATAATACAGCGTATCGTTTAGATTTCCTGGAAACACCATGGAGTTGCTGTTCACAATTACTCTTCATACATGTGCATAAGTTTGATTTTTATTGACAAACAGTTAATGCACTACTTTACTTACCGCATTTTGAGAAAATGATTATCGTTCTTAAGTTACACAGAGGAAACGCTCCATGATGCATGTTGCCATGTCATCTGATGCACTGCTGGATAACTAGATTTTCTGAATACTCATAAGGTCACCGGTTGAATCAAAATGCCGACGCTCAATCATATCAGTCTATTTCATTACAATTATCATATCTTAGCCGTTATGTTATCACATATCTGAATGCCGAATAAGTGAATCTTATTCGTGTTATAGGAGAATGTAAATATATCTATGTGTGTGTATATTTTATTTTGGAGGTCAAGGTTGCACAAAAATTGAAAGACCGTCCGGCTAAGTTCTCATTTCAGTGCCATGCTGATATATCTAAAACACTGTTTAAATACTAAGAACAACTGGTCCGCCTCTCCAACCATGTTCCCCTCCCTTTTGTCATATGAGTGGGAAATATAATACACAGAATTTCTTGACGCCTTGTATTCAGCCAGTGATATATCTGTGTCTTGTAATAAGAAGCGGTGAAAACACTTAACGCTCAGAAGTGAGGAATATCTAGTTTACTGAATTGTTTCAAACAGTGTTACTGCCAACCTGAGCACAGTTATTATGACCACCCATTGCGATCATCTGAATCAACCATTCCGAGATCTACTGTATATGCTTACAAATTATGAATAACTATGAAACAAAACACAATGTGTTGAACGCCACCTCTTTTTCAGTGATAATCACTGAGACCTATTGACTCACGGCAACTCAAAATAATCCATCAAGATGAGTGATGAACCAGTAAGTATCACAATAAGTATTTCTGAATGCATGTACAAAACAGAAGATGAAAGCGACCACTGTGTTTCTCTCGAACCACCTCATCAATGCCTTTTTCCAAACTATACCTAACAGATACTTTACAGACCTTTGTGACATCACACAGTATTTTGTTTGTCTATATACTCATCTTTGAATATATCTGTTTTCAATTTGTAGGCGCTTGGCTACATCAAGATTTCCATTCTTCTTTTGAAGTATTCAGCAAGTGACATGGATAGAAATTTATGAACTAGAATATGTTTATTAATACAAAGACAGTTTCAGTTATCTCTGACTTTTGTTTCTATTCACTTGGTACTTTACTCCAAAGTATGTTTGAAAACCTCCCAAAAATGGATAAATATAACTCCCTATCCACGAAATAAATAACTGAGATATATTTTTCCGATGGCGCATTGCATTCATTTATCATTGTTGTATTGTTTTCTCTAAGCTGGGTTCTTCATTCGTGGAGCTTACATCGTCCGTCTAGACGACGTCATCAGTACAATCTTCACTATGAAGTGGTCTCTAAAAACATCTCCGTGATTGATTCAGTAGCTTGCCGTAACAAAGTGGTTTGTAAATGGTTGTTTCCTTTGACTGGTGTGTAATTGACTGCAGATAATTTAAGGAAAACAAAATGATTGACTGATGATGATGATGACAGAGGTTCTAAAGATGTACACACATGAATTAGTAGAATGCAACTCCGTGTATGACTCCAATGAAATTATGCTACACACTGATATATAACAGAAATACAGAAAAATCTAGGCAGTTTTGTTAAAATAGTATTATTGTTTGCATTTTGCCATCAATGATTGGACCAATTTGATCGGTCTATGATGTTAAATGGGCTTCTGTACGGATGCGTCGACACTGTCTGCGTTTTAAGTTATACCGTAATGATGCTGTCCGATTACGATCCGAGAAACACTCGTGATGAAGCATGAATCCCTCACACACTTTCAACAGCTTTCCTTAATCATTATTTTCAACAAATATCATCTATCCTCCATATACTAGTTCAAGGAGCGATTCATTTTGCCCACTCTGCCCAATTTCGCCATCTACAAAATTCCACAACTTCCGATAATATTCACGCTGATTCCTCTAACTCACGACAACAATCTCAGATTCGCTTTCTTAACCTTGAAATATACCCATTTAGTATACAGCTTAATCCACTCAGCTTTGAGTGCTTTCATGAAACACTCATGCAAATCACTACTGAATCCATGTTAGTCGTTGACACTGGAAAACCTGTTTCCATTTCCGATTCGTCTACACACCAATCAATCGTGATACACTGAACTCATACACTCAAATATTACACATCGGCATAATTCTAACCTGCTCATAATGAAGGTCACTGGTGCTCACTGTATTCACTAAAGCTTCACAGAGTACACATAAATTGTAATTGTTACTTCAAAATTGGCGTAGATTCAGGCATCTTATTTCACTTGCGAGATACATGTGATAGACAATATGACAAGTTCATGATACTTTCTCAGGCTAGCTGGCAACAGAACAAGTAAGGTAAATCGAAACGTGATACATTAGAATTAATGATATGTGAAGACCGGTTGATATTAACCTAATAATTTGTCAACAGCATTTGTATTGACTTCAGTGGATTGGTTCAGAGCAATGCATTACAATCACATTCAAGTATATAAGCTTGACTTGGAAAATGATTTTAGAGGAAAATGTATAGCGTGTAAGCTGTTTGTTCGACTTGAGACTATGTAGAGAATGAGGATGTGATACAATTGGCACAAGGCTTATGTCACGAAGGAAAAAGGATGAAGTGTTAAAAGTCGAACATGATTGACGTTCAGTTATGGATCTGGCAATTGGTTACATTCTCCTATTGTATTAGTTGAGACCAAAGACGATATCATGAGTGAACACATGGAGTTAGCTTACAATTTACTGATGTGCATCAATGTGGATCTACAACAAACATACTCATCATTATTATTTCGATTAGCTACCATGTGAATGTTGTACTTCTACTTGGAGAAGTTTTGTGGTGAAGCTTTCAATTACAGCTTGAAAATGGAATTCCATATTTTATATGCATTCTTACAACTCAATGTGTGAATTCAAGCTTGATTCTCAGACATGCATTTTCATTGGTTTGATAAGTGAACGATTTGGTGATGATGAAGGGTTGGCTACTGACGATACAGTGTACAATGACCACAGTCACTACGATATCTCCCGACTGTAAAATGTTTCACAGTTATTGTCAACTGACTTACATTTCATACCATAATACTTAGCCAATCTCATGAAGGGTACTATCACTAATGCATGAAGTTATTATAGTACAATTTATTGAAAAGAAAGTCAATTAGTGTTTTGAAATGTCATTGAAATGCATTCCACTTCTGATTTCAACATTCATATTTTAGCCAATCTCCAAACGAATATTAGAACCCTCATTGTCTGAGAATATCTCAGAAACAGTCCAATGCTCAATTGAGCGTGGATGTCAATATTGAGAACAAAGGCAGTAATTCACTATTTGATACCGTCTTAACTTCATTTAGATTGAGCGACCATCATATACACTGAATCTGTCAGCTGCTGTTAACACAGATATCATTATTATTATTTTTATTTGTCCCTTGGGTTTCTGCTGGAAATTAAGAGTTCCGTAGCACTTCTCTGTTGCACTCTCTTCTCTGCAGTCTGTCACCAATTGACTCCACCACTGCCCACAACAACTCATTCCCTCCTCACATCATCTCCTCCATGTCACCCTCAACTGGGATGTCCAACTCATCGTTTCCTCTTTGGATTTCACTCGAGGTCCTGGTGCGTGATGCCTCCGAATGGCTTTCTCAGTGCATGTCCAATCCAGTTTCTTCGTTGAAAGATGTCATCGATTATCCATAATCTCCATGTGAAATTTTGCTGATGATGACTATCAGTTGAGTGAAAGTAGTCCACTCGGCTATATTTTTAACAACTGTAGACTAGTTGAGATAGCATATCAATTAGTATCATCTAGATTAATGAAAATCAAGAATTAATAAAGGGCTATTCAGCGAAGAATCTTTTCTTTTCTACGAATCATTTTAAGAAGTTACAGTTGGCTGTTTTCCATCCTGAAGTCCCGATAGTCTTTGGTTAGGATCTGCCGTGGCTCAGATTTTCATTTCACATTCATTCATCACCCAGTAACCACCTAATTCTTTCAATAACATTAATTTCGTCTGAAAAACAAAAGTACGCTACGGGTCATTACACCCTAGTATTACAGTTCTTCAATACAGTCTACTTCGTAATCACTATTTGTTCAAAATAATTAGTGAACAGCTTTTCTCAAGCATCTTTTAAAGTACTATTTAGCTAGTAAATAAATTAGAACATAACTACTAAAGGGTAGTATTTATCACCGACTGATGTCATTTGGAGAATTGCTGGAAAATGGGGTCTCCGTAGACGTGTTTTTACTAGTATGGGACTCCATGTTGACGGCCGTGACAAAATGAGATATTTGGCTCAGGACCATGATGTCATCCAATCAGGCCTCCCTCATTATGGAGATGAATCAAATATTCCACTTATACTGGACTTTGTAATCAACTTTTCAGGTGACATCGAAAGTATGACTTTCCATGTCTGACCTCAAATCATATTTGTACAATTACTGTTTATGTGAATAGCAATATACTGATCGAGTGTCACAGTTTTTTTCCGATTTTCACCGTGCATTTCTAGTAAACAGTGCAAACAGTCACTCTTTGAGCTCTGTATGAGGTGTGAGTGATTTTATGTTTATCCTAACCAATCCGTTTGGCATCCTATGGTATAAACATGATTCAAATATGGAGCAAACGATATTTGTTCTGATATACATTCACTGAGCTATACAGGTGCCAAAATGATGAAGCGTAGATCATGCTGGTGGGAGTGGTGTTCAAATGAAAGACTACTCAGTGAATCTTGAATTATTGTGAACACCTTAGGAGTTGTGAGACGGATAATCTGAAGCCACCACACACTTCTATGCATTGAGCCTACACTGAGAATAAATGTTTGAAAGAGGTGTATTGAATGTATTCTAGCAGTGAAGTGTGCTTCACTAAAGTGTGAAATCGCAATTGTGGAATCTGCAATCTAAAGCTTAGAATCTCATTCCAATAATTTTTTACGTATCTATGCAAATTGCTTCCAGTAGCACACTACAATGTATTTTTGACATTAACCCGGTCTCTTCGCTGACACAATTAGACCATCCTGAGATCCAAGTGTTTCGTGTGTAGTAATCTGACTAAATCATTATTTTATGGCTCAAAATTAGCAGACTGCAACACAGTAACCTCAGTAGCGCTGTGTATTATTAGTATCAGTATTTTCCCTTGAGCTCCTAGTGGAAAATAGAAATTCAGTATCACATCTCAGTTGCATTCCCTTCTCTGCAGTCTGTCTCCAACTGACTCCACCACTACCCACAACAACTCATTCCCTCCTCACATCATCTCCTCCATGTCAACCTCGCCTCCGACGCCCAAATCACCGTTTCCTCCACGACTTCAAATCCAACACCTGACATGACATGGTGCGTGGTGTACTCAACCGACCTTCTCAGTGTATGCGCAATCCATCTCCACTTCTTCTGCATGTTTGTTACGCGATGGCTTCTCGGTCGGTTGGTTCGTTGCCAGCCAGACAACCAGAGTTCCTTGTTCCTCATTCTGATTATTCCATTCTGGCCATCTGATCTCCATCTTCAGTATCGAGTGAGCGTTGGCGGTAGCTGTTGATGAGTGTTCGTAGTTTGTTGAAAATCCCTTTCGCAATGCGCTGAGTCTCTCAACCACCACACTGCAGCACTGCCTTACTTGACTGACATTGGTGTGGAAAATCCGGATGTTGTTCACACTCCATGCTGAGTGCAGTGTAGTAGATCTCCACACTGATTTCAGATTGATGAAGCCCCCCTGTCTCTCAGTGTTTCCGATCCTGGTCGCTTTGACATCCTCGTCTGTGCCTGTGTCGCCACCTGTAGTTGAAACGATGCTGTCCAGTTAGGTGTGGGTGGAAGAGACTACTTCCTTCAGGTTTCTCCCATTGATGGTGATTGGTGCTTCTTGTAGTTGACGCTGTTGTTGGTTGGGTATCTTCATCACTTTCGTCTTGTCTACATTCACTTGAAACAAGTCCCGTTATCTCTGCCTCACCTCGTCTCTTCCGTCAACTTGTTAGTTTTTGCCTGTAGATCCTCGAGTTTGTGCAACAGTAGACATAAATCATTTTGCGAAATCCCAATCTGTATCTACCTAAATACGCACTCTGAACGCAAGCCTCTTAGTTATTGCAACTCACATAACTAACCGTAAATTTTTCCTGCTGAAAGCATTCGAGAAAGCCCTCTTAGTTGCTTAATCTCCCTTCACACAAT